GACCTTCCTACCTAGGAAGCCACCGTAATCCATAAGCATCCAATATTTATTAAGCATAAATAATACATGCAGGTTGATATTCTAGAAAATAATCCTTGCCCTGGACAAGCTCATAGACTAAATAAGGACGGTAGGCATATGAAGAAATACCAACAGAAGGGTGCAGAGGTGTCTTCAAAAGGTGGTCTGGGACCATCTGACTGGGAAGGGGGCTGGTGTCTGGGGGATGCCCCCCAAAATATTGCTATTCCTTACTTGTGTCCCCTTGACGGCCCAGTAGCACGATGGTGTGGCTTTGTTAGCAGGACTAATGTCTCTCCCTTGGCGAAAGTCTTTCTAACACATAAGACTAGTGACACATCACAGCCTGGGTGAGAGGTGGCTGTCTTTTCTTCCATAGCTAAGGCTAGGAAATTCCATCACTCACTGAGTGTACTAGTTATCTACTGCTGTGTAACAAATTATCCCAAAACAGTGGCTTAAAACAACACAGGCTTGTTGTCTCACGGTTTCTGTGGGCAGGAGTTGGCAAAGCCTAGCTGGACCCTCTGCTGCACCATCTCCCACAGGTGGTAATCAACCAGGGTAGGATCGGTCTTCAAGCTCATTCAGTAATTGGTCTTCGTGTGTTCGTGCTGCTAAAACAGAATACCACAGACTGGGTGGCTTATAAACAACAGTAATTTATTTCTGGAGGCTGCAAGTCCACGATCAAGGTGTCCACAGATTTGGTGTTTGGTTAGTCTGCTTCCTGGTTCATCAATGGCCATCTTCCTGCTATCCCTTTGGGATTACATGTCTCCCCCTGGTGGAGGGGTGAGGGAGCTCTCTGGGATGTGTTTTCTAAGGGCAGTAATCCCATTCATGAGACCTAATCACCTCCCCAAGGCCCCGCCTGCCAACACCGTCACAGTGGGGATTAGGAGCTCAACGTATGAACTGGGGTGGGTGGGGGGACAGACATTCGGACCAGAACAGCAGGATTCAGTTCCTCACTAGCTGTTGGACCGAGAGCCTCAGTTCCCTGCCACCTGGAATATGACAGCATCACAGCTTGCTTCATCAAAGCCAGCACGAGAATCTGCCAGCAGTCAGTCTTTCGTAACCTAATCACGGAAGGGACATTTCCTTACCTTTGCCATATTTTGTTGGTGAAAAGTGAATTACTAAGTCCAGCTCACACTCAAGATACAAGGGTATGAATGCGTGGAGGGGGGAATCATCAGGGCCATTTTAGCAATCTGCTCCGGCCTGGCCTGTGGTCTGGGCCTGCTGGGCCGGGCGGCCGCCGCCACCACCTTTGACCCCCATGAGGCTCCGGGCCAGGCCTGGGGACGGCCTCGAAGAGCCGCCTCAGCAGCGGGAGACCGCTGCCGCCAGAGACCTGGCAGAGCTGAGCTGAGCAGTGGCCAGGGCCTCCTCACAGAGGGAGTGAGGGAGAGAGCCAGGGAGCTCGGGCACCAGGGCTGCAGGTCAGGCAGGTGTGGGGCCAAGGCACGGCCAGAGGCAGGAGGGAGCCCTGGGCCGACTCTGAGAAAGGGAGTGGCATGAGCCACTCCACATTCTAGAAGAGTCACTTCGTCAGCGGTGAGGAAAGAGCCCCAGGGAGTGGGAGAACCCAAAACGGGCTGGTTAGGGGAGTGTGATCCAGACGGGCCCAAACTGGAAGCCATGGGGCTTGGTCCCGGGTTGGACAGAGGAGGCTGGGACAGGGAGGAGTCTGGCCGCTCCCAGGCTTTGGCTTTGTCCAGAGGACAGTGGGCCCCACGCCTCCCCACCCAGCACGAGGGGTGTGAGGAGCCCCCTCCCATGTGCAGAGATACAAGGCCTTTTCTCATTTGGGGCTGAGAGAAGGGAAGAGAGCCGTGTCTTTTGTTATGAAACGTGACAAATGAGGAAGAGAGACCCCCCCCATTGTCTCACCCACGCACACACGATTGTCATTCTTCTGTTCCATTCTTTGAGAATGCTCCTCCCTGTCTTGACCACCAAACTCTGATATGTCCACTTTACGGTGGCCCTTAGGGACAGCTGTTGACCTGGGGGGCCCCAAGATGCCGAGTCCCCCTCGTTCCTGTCACTCGTGTGGACCCAGGACTGGCCAGCCAGAGGGCCTACTGTAGACAGCAGGGACTCTCGGTTCACTGTTGACAGCAAGGCCCTGGGAAGGCGCCAGGGAGAGGGAACCCGCTGCCGAGCCACACGGAGGGCAAAGCAGAGCGGGACCCCCCCCCGCCCCAGCCTGAGCAGCAGGGGGGACAGAGGGGAGGCCTGGCTGGCCACCCACACTCGAAGCTTTGGGGTTTGTGTTAGCAGGAGGCCCCAGTTCCCACAGCTGGAACAGTTTGGGGTTTGGTTTTGTCTTTTAAAGCTTTCCTGCGGTGTAATTTACATACCATATAATGCATCCATTTTAAATACACAATTCAATGATCTTTAGTGAAATCGTCCCCATAAATCGAGATGTCGAACATTTCCATCACCTCAGAAAGTTCCCTGCTGGCCCTTTGCAGTCTGTCCCTGTCCCCACTCAAAGCCCCAGGCAATCACTAATCTGCTTGTCTCTGCTCCACCCCCCGCCGCTTTTTCAAAATTTCATATAAATGGAGTCTACAGTCACTTAGTATAATATTTTTGAAATTCGTCCTCGCTATGGCAGGTGTCAGCACGGAACTCCTTACTGTGGAGTACTGTTCCGTTGTAACGGATGTGCCACGGTTTGTTTATCCATCACCAGGTGATGGACGTCGGGATTTTTTCTGATTTGGGGCTGTTTTGAATAATGCTGCAGCGAACATTCGCTTCTAGTTTTTGTGGGGTATAGGTTTCCTGTGTCTCATGAGAATGGAGTTGCTGGGTCACATAAAAAGTTTACATTTAACTGTTTCAGAAACTGATAGGATTTCCACGGCCGTTGCCCCACTTTTCCTTCCCAGCGGCAGAGGTTGTGGGTCCCGTTCTCTGCGCAGCCTCACAAACACTTGTCACTCTCTGCCTTTGTTTTGGTTTTTTTTTTTAAGATTTTATTTTTTTATTAGAGAGAGAGACAGAGCACAAGCAGGGGGAGCAGCAGAGGGAGAGGCAGACTCCCCGCGGAGCAGGGAGCCCGATGCGGGGCTTGATCCCACGAGCCTGAGATCACGACCTGAGCCAAAATCAAGAGTCAGACACTTAGCCGACTGAGCCACCCAGGTGCCCCCCAAGTCTTGCACTTTTTTTTAATTTCTAAGCATTTTGTTCTTTTGATGTTACTACAAATAGAATTTTTTAAATTTCATTTTCAGCTTCTTTGTTGCTAGCGTGTAGCCACACAGTTGACTTTTGTACGTTGACCTTGCGTCTCGTGCCCTCGTCGGTCAGTGGTTTGATGAGTTAGAGCCACCTATAGTGCCAACCAAGAGAACCAGAGGCTCCTCGAGAGCCTGCTGCAGGAGCCTTCTGCCTACGTGCATCCGAGAACTAAGATCACTTCACTAAAGGGTGATGCATAGCTCTTCAGCAACTCCAATGAAAGTTCTTCTTTAAACCAGCTGAGATCCACATCCCCATACCCTCTGCCCACCGGTCTGGATCCACACTCTGATGCGAAGCAGACAACTCTACTCCCCCTTCCTTGAGACCAGACTGTGACCAGACTGCTCCTCCACTGTGGCTCCAGAGCAGACACCAGCCAGCCCTCCCTGGCCTGTGCGTTGCCTGACACAGTGGGACCGGTGGGACAGGAGGTCACGTGAACAGTGTGGTCCCCTTTACTGCAGCCCAGCACTGCACTGCTTCCTCAGAGGCCACATGACCCCTTCTCCCCGCCAAATATGCTTTCATGTCCAAGGACAGATGTTCGAGCCATGATGGATTTTTTTTAAATGTTGCCTATCTACTAATCTCTTTGGAACTTTGGCAGGTTCCCCCAAATGGCAGAGGAGTGGAGATAAGTGGCACATCCTCTAGGCTCACATTTAGTACTTTCTGAGCTCAGTGCTCTGTGACTTTCTCTCAGCACGTGGCTTCTGGCACAGCACCTCGCAGAGGCGGGACCGCTCCCACTGGTGGTGTGCAGATTGATTTTAGGAAATAGATGGGACACAACAATAAATAAGAACTCACAGTGAGAAAAATTACTGTCTTTTAAAGTATCTTCCAGTCTCTCTAGTTCTGGCTGGAGAAACTCTCTGTGAGTGCTGGTTTGTCTGTCATATCCTCTTTAACCCCTGTTAATCCACCTCCCACCCGCCCACTGACCTCTTTCTAAATGAAGAGCAAACCTTGGGAAGTAGCATAATTTAATAATACTTTGGCGTTGCATATTATTATGGCGAGTGCTTTTCCATTTACAGTAGTATTATAATATTGCCTTTCAAAATAAAGTAAAAAATTTTGAGCTGGCAAGAGAAAATATTAATTAGAGGTGGTACAAAGATAGCCAAGGTGAAGGTGGTCTGGGATATCCAACAGGCGGGATGCACTGGGCTGGTGGCCCCCTGCCCAAGCCAGGCCCTGGTCAGCCCCACGATCCTGCTCCCGTGTGTCCCCACTCTGGGCGGCGCCGTGCCCCTCCGCAGCGGGCTCTGACCGTGGACGTTAACCATGTGTGCTCGTGCTCTCCCGTAGGTGCGGCGGGCTGGGGCTGGTGCTGGCTAGCGCGGGCTTCGGCATGCTGACAGCGCCCATCATCGATCTGCACAACCAGAAAGGCTACTTCCTGCACCACATCATTTTTGCCTGCTGCACGCTCATCTGCATCATCTGCATCCTCCTGCTGCCTGAGAGCAGGAACCAGAACCTGCCCGAGAACATCTCTAACGGGGAGCACTACACTCGGCAGCCGCTCCTGCCGCATAAGAAGGGGGAGCAGCCCCTCTTGCTCACCAACGCCGAGCTCAAGGACTACTCCGGCCTCCACGACGCGGCCACCGCAGGGGACGGGCTGCCCGAGAACGCCACAGCCAACGGCATGAAGTCCATGTAGCTCTGGGCACGGCCTTCCCTGAAGGGGGCACTGTGGGCTCCAGGGGCTTGGGGGCTGTTTGGGCACAGGTTTACAGACCAGGGACCGAACACATGGCTGGGGGGGGCAGGAAAACCCAATTCTGCTGCTGATGCCGCGGATCGCAAGACTGTCAACTGGTGTGGGGAAATTCTGTCTTTCCAAAACTCTAAGGATCGTGTGTGTGAGGAAGCAAACTCTTTGAAAATAACCCTTCAGACTTTCTTTTCTGCCATGAAATGTTTGTATTTATTTTGGTCATTTTTACGAGAAGCACTTTATTCCCTTTCCTCTAACTGATCTCGAAACAGAACCACCTCCTTCGGAAGAGGGACACGGTTGCCGAGGAGGACGCCGTAAGTAGCCAGCGCAGCGGCCCTGGAGGTCACACACGACCCTCGTCCAGCACCCCGCACTGGAGCCAGGGGTCCCTCCCTCTGGGCCCGCGCCCCCCAAGGCCGCCTGCCTGTGTGCGGACAGACTGACCTGTCGTGGAGTGTCTCCATGACCACATTGTAGACAGAGTGAAATGTAAACGATTAGGTTTTTGCTAGAGAGTCTGTGTATGGTTTCTAAAGGGTTTTTGTGTGTGTGTGTGTGTTTGTGAGGTAAGAGCTTCTGTTCCATGCGTTGGGGGAAAGCAGCTCCCAAATATCATTAAAACCAGCTTAGTCTTTCCTTCGAGATCATCCTTTTGTACTTGATGCTGGAAGCTCCTTGGGGCAAAGTGTACACATTTCACCAGAAATCCTAAGTAACGGGTGGTACTAAGGCCACGGTCTGCCGACATTGGTTCGCCTGGCCGAGCTCATGACGAGCAAGGGTGTGGAGAGGTGAGGCACGGTAACGTCAGTAGTACTCCTTCCCGGGTTTAGCTCCAGCAAGAAAGTCCCCTCTGTCACACTCGGCTTCCTCGCCAGCACAGCCTGAACATGAGGCCACTTTCTGAACTGAAAACCAATAGGACACTAACTGACGCAGACCACTGAGGCAAACCCACAGGAGCGAGGGGTGCTCTCCCGGACGTGGCCCGTCACCCACATCTCGAGCACACGCCGCATAGAAATCACCAGCCTGGATGACTGTCAGCTCTCACTGACTTCATGCTGAGACGCTGCAAAGCCTGTGGGAGCCACTCCCCCACACAGCCCTGCCTTGGCCTGCTTCCTGCTTCCTGTCGCTTGTCAGCACAGAGCGGGGCTCAGGGTGAGGAGTGGGACTCACAGCTGAGTCCACCTGACCTCTGGCCTCTTCAAGCATCAAGACCAGTTGAGAGAAAGCAATAACTCACCAAAGTTCAACACCCACCCCGCCCCCGATAGCCAAGGGTTTTCATCGTGCTCCTCACTGCGTCCCCGACAGTGAAGGCTTCCTCCTGCCTTTCCAGGTCGGGCTTCCTGCGCCTGTCTGAGGGGCGCGTCACTTGGAGGGCCTCCGCAAGGCCACCCAGGGGGCCACGAACAAACAAGCTTCGTCGGCGCAGGCAGGCGCTGTCTTGTAGCAACACAGGCACCCAGTTTTTTGGACAGCCTGGTTTCTTTCTAGAATTGTCCACCTCCGCACTTTGTGACACATGTCTTTGCTGTGAGCCGTGTTCTTCCAGGGAGCTTGTGGTCTCGAGTCCGTGAAGCAATTAGGGGACTTCCATTGGACAGCGGCTAGAACTCAAAAGGGCCAGAAAAGAGGTTGACGTAACTTCCCTTTCATCCCCGTCCAGCTTTCCACCCGGTCTGTTCTCAGTCCACCCACCACCCTCCCCCAAAACCGCCAGACCCCAGTACGAGCCCGCTGGCTTGCTACAAACACCGTGAGGTGAGCCAACTCGCAGGGAGTGAACCGCACCGTCTCCTCACCAATGCCTGGGATGGAAGATGCCCGGCGGGCCCTCCCCAGCACCACCCGCTCCAAGCCCAGCTCACCCACACCTCCCTTCATTGCTTTTAAGTCACTTTGTTCCACGTTTCAATGTTAGTCTGCATTCCCCTCAATCTGAGATCTTTCCTTCCATCTCTGCAGCCTTCACGTGCCAAACTTTGCCTTTTTTAGAGTACTTACTACAAAGCCCCCGGGCGGCAGGACCCAGTCAGCCCAGGACAGGACCTGCGCAGCGGCCGGGCCACGGGGGGCGGGGGGGACACTTGGGAAGGAGCCGGCGAGGGCCCCGAGGCTGCACCCGGCCGGATGTCTTGTCTGTGTCCCTCATCCCAGCGCCAGGACGGCCCGCTTGCTGTCTTCCAGGACTTGGGCGCCTTCCCTCACTGGCCGCATGGACCTTCGTGGAGCTTCTGTGAGAACCGTCCTCAAGCTGGCGCGAGCCACCGCTAATCTCTAGCCAGGAGGGCAGAAGCGAGGCATGGCACAGACAAGGTCCTGTTCCTCAGTCTCTGATCTCCATGTGACGGGACAACTGTGAAGACCAGTCCAGTGGAGACAGCAGTCAGCACTGTCACTTCAGTGATCTGGACTAGAAGAGAAGCTGGCTACGGGGACCAAAGTCTAGCAGATGTGAACACGGCTGACTTGCCAACAATCCGTGATGTCCCGGCAAAGAGGTCCCACAGCTCTTCTCTGACGGCAGCCGCGGGGGTAGGCTGAGCTGCTCTCTTGCTGGTTGGGCTTCGGGACACCCAAAGCTCTTAAGGAACGCCTTTATGAGATGAGGACGAAGCAGGAAAGCTTCCGTGCGGGCTGAGCTCGTGGACATCCCGTACCGTGCGAGCAAGGCAAGAGGGGCCGTCTGCGCGGGAGGGGGCTGTGGGCCCCCCTGGCGCGGGGTCAGCGGTGCGTGGACTCCTCGGTCCTGCTGCCTCCGTGCTTAGTGAGGGAACACTTCTCAGGCACCTGCTACTTCAAGTCTGCCTTCCCCACCGCCTACACCCCACCCCCTGCTGCCGGGGGAGACATCCCCAGCTCCAGCTTCCTCCGCCGCCCACTCCTGCATCCTGCTAGCCTATCAGGGAGCTGTGATCCCCTTCCAATAAAAGTTATGCACAAATGTGAACACCTGAGACAGGGCTGGATATTTCTTCATTTTGTTTTTCTCCAGAAGTCAACAGTAACACCACATCCCCTAAACGGTAGCGCCCCAGACAAACAGGAAACAGTTTTAAATGCTTTGTCTTCTAAAAGAGTAGAATCCCTTGCAACCAGGGGAAGGGGGCTGGTAGGTTGGTTTGGCCACACAACAGAAAGAGAGCAAAACTAAACCTCATAAAGGAAGTAACTGCACTCAAACATTACCACTTCCTAGAGCCAAACAAGAAATGACTGAAGTGCCATTAAGTGACCCATGTGACCATCGCATCGCCCACCCCTGGGGGCCCGCGGGCACACACATGTGCTGGGGGAGCCCACACTTCAACTCTTTTAAAGAACACCTCACTTTAATGTATTGTGTGTTTTGGAAAAGCAGTGTGTTATGTCTAGTGGGGAATACTTCCCTCCCTCTGTCCTTTCAGCAACCCCCACACATTTGAGGTTTCTATGTAAGAACGTGTTACTGTACATGTCGACCGGGATTACTCTGGAGGTGCTCATTCATAGCACAAGCCTAAATCGAGTTCTGAACTGTCGTTCAAAGCTAAACGTCTGCATGATGTCACATCTGTTGTACCTTTGGGGAAAATTTGTATGTAAATGTACAGAAATAAAAAATGTTGCCCCATTAACAAATTTCCACTGGAATGTCTTCCCTACCTCATCTGATGGTATCCAATGAAGGGCATTTCATGACCATTGACTACAAGTAATAAAAACTCTACCTGTTTATGCAGCTCTCACTGTCCCTACTTTAGCGCCTCTGTAAACCAAGTCTTGGCTCTCACCCTGAGGGGACAGCGGGTGGCCTCTCACCTCGCTTGCAGGGTCCCGGTCTTAAAGGCAAGTAGAGGCAGAGATCGGATTGCACGCAAACTGTTCCCTTGGTGATGTTCTCAGACCACCTGAGAAGCGGGGGCCATCAGCAAACTGAAGAGTTCTTTTCTTGTGTGTATTGACGTCCTGCTAACCCATGGCCTGACGGTTCCTAGAGAGGTCAAGAAAGGACTCTCTTACACTGTGATTCTGAGAGGAAGTTCTGATAACCCAAAACTCTTCTTTAATGTAGTATTTTTTAACAAGAAAACACTATTTCTTTAATAAAGTATTTATACCAAACTCTTCTCTCCATAGCCCTGATTGTGTGTTACTTGCTCTTCTTAGAGAGGTGCCCACTGTGCTTCCAAGCTACAGTTGTGGTGGCCGCGGCCTTGGAGGTTAGCACAGGAAATCTGCAAAGGAGGCAAGCTTCTGGAACCCCAGACCTGCTCCTCTCAAGTGCCTTTATGTCTTGGCCAGAGTGTAAGCACCCCGGGCTGCCTAACCACGGGCTCAATACGAGACTTTTGCCACTGCATGGACCCCATTACAGGGCCCTAAACAATCCGCCTCCAGCAACAAAAGGGGTCCAGATGGACCTTGAAGATTAGGAAGTTCTTTGCCAGTGGTCCTCAACCTCGCCTGTACTGAGCAGCACGTGGGGAGCTTTTCAGATCTGCCAAAGCCTGGGTCCCAGGCCCTCTGAGTCTCTGGGGAAGGGCCAGGCACAGGCAATCTGTGAAGGCCACCCCCAGGGATTCGAATGTGAAGCCAGAGTTAGGAGCCACTAGCCCGTGACATACTGGCTTTTGGAAAAGGGTGTGAAAGAAAATGTGTAGCATGTGGAACTAGCGAGACTGGAATCCACTACATGTGGCGGGCAGGAAAAGGCTAAGGATTAAAGGTAACCAAAGCAGGTGCTTGGGACTTTGGAGAAAAGAAGGACAATGATAGCAAGAAGAGCCAGGAGGAGCTAAAGCATTTGGATCCATAACAATGAAGTAGATAAATAGCGCAACTGACATCTGAATTGCCATGCCCCTTACTCGATCATGCGAAGCATGCATATATATCTAGTCCTAACGATAACCCAGCAAGGGAGAGCTTATTCCCAATTTACAGGTGAGGAGACAGGGCCCAGGGGAGTTAGAGATTCAAGTCCAGAAATCCAGTGAGCCGGTCCAAGGGAGAACACAGCAGGAACTGTGGTGAGCAGCCGTGCCGGGGAAGGGCTTGCCCGGAAGGGGACAGGAAGGAGCTAACCTGACACGTACTTTATAAAGACTTACTACCTTAATTCTAATGAGGAGTGTACACGGCAGGGTCATGACTAATGTACCTCTTTCCTAGATTATCAGGTTAGCCCTCTGCAGTCCCAACAATATCCCATTTTAACCCCTGTTCCCTATTCCTGAGTGGCCACACACGCACTCTTGCCTGCCATTTGGCTCTTCTTCCCCAGGCAGATCGATTGCAGCTTTTTGGCCCACGCTCTGGTGAGCGGAAGAAGGAAAGTTAGATGAAGATTTGAAAACAAAACGTAAACACATTAACCTAATGACAAACAGTGAAATTCAATCCATTTATTTCAATGTACATTGTACATAAGTTACAAATCCTCACTTCTGCCACTCTGCTAGAACTTTTCCGGAAAAGCCTCCATTTCTTCCTTGATCCTGTTTTCTACCAGTAATGCGAAGTTACTGTCTGTGTTTTGAAGGTTATAGCTGACAAACACCTGTTTGTTGGTCTTCCTGGCTAAAAAGAAAACACATTGGCACAGATGTGACTGAAATGCCTGGAGGTTGTGTGCGCCTCACACATCCCTGACAGCAGAACCATGCCTGGGAAGAGAATGGGGTCGTAGGGAGAGAAGAAGGTTCTGGTTTTTAATGCTCCTCCAGGCAGCGCCTGCAAGTGCGGTCACGCAGACCCCTCCCCCCCTCACTGTCCACAACACCCGTTCTGCGAGTGTGGCCCCAGTCAGCAGCAGCGCCTGGGAGCTTGTCAGAGATGCAGATTCCCAGGCTCCACCCCAGACCAACTGAGCCAGAGATTCACAAGCGCTCCGGGGGATCCAAGCCCTGATGGCTGAGTACCACTGTTCTACCTGAGAAGTTGGTTTGCCTGTTTTGTTTTGTTTTTACTTTAAAATACAGACAATGATAAAGTAATTAAAATAATTAAGTTCCCCTTCAGTACCACCCTCTCTAGCAATTCCATTCCCTTCCCAGAGATAATCCTACGTGTCTGTACGGTTCCATTTACGTAACACACACACATACGTGTCCATGCATGTGAACAGACGCACAACCGTAGGGCTTTCAATCTGATGTTGAAGATACGTGTTAGCCCCTTTCTACAAACCCATCATAGTTGAAGAGTGCTCCTCCAACTACTAAAATCAAGCCCAGTCACATGCCCAGAGTCATAACACATATCGGGCAGTAAGCCTTAATTAAACCAGTTCAGTACCGACCACTCCAGTGCTGGGCCCCCTCCCTCGGCGTCCCCCCACACACGGGCAAGTGCCAACTCCTACTCCCCGCAGACATCAGATGACCATGCCAGCCCTGTCACACGGGGAGGTGAGGAGAGGGGGGCTGGCACTGTCAAGTCACAGCCCGCTCAGCCTACTGTCGTCCAGTGGCAGGAAATTCCTTGTCCCCAGGGAGAGGCCACTCTGATTCCAATCACTCTACCTGCTAAGACAGGATCTTACAGGGAGCAAAACTGTGTCTGCCTGCACTGTCCACCCAGCAGCCCAGCCCTGCCCTCCGGGGCTCACAGAGTAAGGGCGCCCCGTGCACACCAAAGCCCTCCAGTGCTTCTGGGGTTACTCTGGACCCACTAGATCGTCTCTTTTCCTACTTCCTTTCATTCTCCATATAGGATACTGTTTCAGGACACCTCTCTCTTCCCATTGCCCCTCGAGACAAGTGATGCATTTTCAACTGCAGGGTCCAGACCTAAGTTACTCGAGAGGACCAGCACAGGCCAGGGCGGCGTGATCCCAGCACCTGGGCATCAGCAGCCCCCTGGCACTGCCAGCAGCCACATCATACCGCTGACTTTCCCAGCCTTCTCCGCATGCTTGTCCTTGCTGGGCAACAGCTAAGCGCTGCCAGGTTTGGCTGATACAGGCAGGAGACGACCCTTCATCAATATCTGAGTTTAGTAAGTTGGTGAAGACATATTTTTTTGTCTACGCTTATACAGATTATAATCAATCGATGTAAACCACACGAGAAGAAAAATATTAATTAAAAAAAATCATTTGCACAAAACTAAAAAAAAAAAACCAACAAAATACAAAAAACGGAACAAAACAAAAAGCAAAGTAGTTTGTTGCACACAAAGTGCTACTAGGCTTCCATCACAAGGACACCCGTGAGCCCATCTTACTTTACTGGCATCAACTATTTATTCGTGATGCAGCAAACAAGCCCCCGCCAGCCTCCTCTAGCAGAACCCGTCTCCCACCCTGGGGCGATCCCCCCAGTTTCCCAGCTCTATAAACATGAGCACGCCCGTGTCTCCCCCTGACCAGGGCATGATACGGTATGTCAGCCCTTCCACACTGGCCGACGCACATGAGGAGCAAAGGGCCATCTCGCCTTTCAACTCCTTTCACGTGGTTCAGAAAACAATAACATCATCAACGTAGGGAATGAGAACACCCGGGACTCTGGGTGAAGGCTAAGCAGGAATACCCTGTATCTTTGCTGCAAATTTTCTGTAAATTTAAAATTACTTCCTATTAAGAAATTACCAAAGTAACTTACTAGTTGGGTAACCAGCACACGCTAGTTCCCAGCCAGGTTTCTCTAACGCCGGGCTAAAGAAAAAGGCCAGCGGATGCTCCTATAACACCAGAGCCGCCCTCGGGGTCTGCGCCGTCCGCACGCAGGGAACTCAGAGCGGCAGGTCTAGAGGCACCCACCCTCACCCTGGCCACGACTCCCCTGTCCACCTCCACCGTGCGGCCACACTGCTCACACGGGGGCTGCCCGGAGTGACTGGCAATATAAACGCCCACTGAGCAGGGATCAGGTTGGCCGAACGGTGGGCACCACTCAACTACCTGCCCCTCAACACCAGGGGCCGGGCCTCCCCCGCCTCACCCCCAGCGCCCGGCGCGTCCAGGGCACTGGCTGGGAGCACTGGTGCACACGAAGACCAAGGAGGAGACAGAGGCTGCCCCCACTGTCCCACGTCCCCAGGCGCCCTGCACATTGGCAGGGGCAGGACACAGCCGTCCTCACCTCAACTACCGAGCTATTTTCAGGAAGTATGTGTTCCAGGCGCAGGAAGACGGTGGAGCCTTCAACCTCCCGCTCTTGCTTACCACCGTCTACACCACACTCGAGTCAGGCCTGCCTCCCCTCCGGCCAGCTCTGCACGACACCACATGGACACCGAAGGACAGTTCTCCTGCGCAGGCTCTGCCGCATCACCAGGAGGCAACCCCGAGCCACTGCTGATGGGCACTGTGGGCATCACTCTCACTCTCCTCCCGGGAGGAGGTAACGCGCTTCCAACAGGGAACTGAGTCACCCTGTCACTCACCGGCCTGGAGAGCAGGCCGTGGGAGCCCCTCGAGAACATGCCAGCTGAGACAGTGGTCAAGGTCATGGACAGAGACAAGCCCTCCTTAAAGAAGACCCAACATACAAAGGTCTGTGCTTCTCTCTCAGTATAAGGATGCTCTCCTTCTCCAGGGCCTGGGCCTCGCGGGTCCCTGCAACAGCGACTCCCCATCTGGCTGTTCGTGCAGCCGCAGCCGCAGGTACATACCTAAGCGCTGCGCAAGGCCAGCGGAGGTGGTGTCGGAAGTGTCTCCGAGGAGGGAGGTAGACACAGGGATGGAATCCTAAAAGGGAAACAAAGAACACATGCTGCTTTTCCATCGGCCAAGCTTCTGTGGCTTCGGATTCCTCCTGAGGGTGGCAGTGGCAGGTTCTGGGAGGTTGGACACATTTACCGAGAGAAGGAAGCCCCGGCATCTGTGTGGACAGCCAGGTGGGCTGACGCTCTGCTGCACGTGAGGTCAGACAGCTGGGACAGACGAAGAGCAGTCACGGAAACTGGCATCACAGTGCTGTTAGCAAGTTCTAAGACTTATTTTACATAAAAGGCTTGCTTCAGTGTTGGAAACCCCAAAGCATGCTGAAAGACCACATTATAACCAAGAGGGAAGCCAACAAGACCATTAAGGGTACAGCAGGAAGAAAGCTAATCCCAGAGTCTAGGTGCCAAGTGCCCCTGGGTCCCTCTCACCCCCAAGTTAGCCATGAGCCCAGACGGCAGGATGCCTATCTCCTCATCTGGGCCTGTTAAGAGAACACACAGCTCCATTCCCCTGAAGGTGTCTGGGTTCTGCAAGCTCAACAAGGGCCCTAGGGCACCAGCCATCAGTGTCCAAGTAAGGAAAATAGGAACGTCAGAGTATGTTTGACCAATCCTCATTTCAGATAAGAAGCAGTAAAACTAAAAAAATAAATGTGGCCCTTTTGAAATATAGAAGAAATCTGACCTCCAATTACTATGGAAGTAATCCCCCTTACCATTAAAATTCCTAGCTGAAGAGAAAAAAACTCACTAACTTACAATATGGTCAAAATTACTTTTATCAAAATACTAGCCTTCTAAAACAAACAGCACTCAGTACTGAGTCAAGTACAGAGCACTCAGTATAGAGACAAGATGTTAGGTTTGCCTTTCTCTTTTTTTATCTATTTTTTTAATTTATATTTTAGTTAACACACAGTATGATATTGGTTTCAGGAGTAGAATTTAGTGATTCATCACTGACACCCAGTGCTCACCACCACAAGTGCCCCCCTTAATACCCATCACCCATCTAGCCCAACCCCCGCCGACCTCCCTCCGGCAACCCTCAGTTTGTTCTCAATCATTAAGAGTCTCTTACGATTTGTTTCCTCTTCCCTTCCCCCCCTTTCCATAATGTATGTTCATCTGTTTTCTTTCATAAATTCCACCCATGCATGAGATCATATGGTATTTGTTTTTCTCTGACTTATTTCACTTAGCATAATACACTTGAGCTCCATCCACGTCATTGCAAATGGCAAGAGTTCATTCTTTTTTATGGCTGCATAATATTCCATTGTATGTATGTACCACATCTTCTTTATCCATTCATCTGTCAATGGACATTTGGGTTCTCCACAGTTTGGCTATTGTTGATAATGCTGTGATAAACATCAGGGGGCACGTATCCCTTTGAACCTGTATTGTTAGTAGTATCTCTAGTAGTGCAATTGCTGGATCAGAGGGTAGCTCTGTTTTTAACTTTTTGAGGAACCTCCATAAGGTTCTCCAGAGTGGCTGCACCAGTTTGCATTCCCACCAGCAGCTTAAGAGGGTTCCCCTTTCTCCACATCCTCACCAATACCTGTTGCCTCTTGTCCTGTTAATTTTAGCCATTCTGACAGGTGTGAGGTGGTATCTCATCATGGTTTTGATTTGTATTTCCCTGATGATAAGTGACACTGAGCATCTTTTCACGTGTCTCTTAGCCATCTGGGTATCTTCTTTGGACAAATGTCTATCCATGTATTCTGCCCATTTCTTGACTGGATTATTTTTTGGGGGGGCTGCTGAGTTTGATAAATTCTTTATAGATCTTGGATACTAACCCTTTATCAGATATGTCATTTGCAAATACCTTCTCCCAATCATAGGCTGCCTTTTAGTTTTGTTTCTTTTGCAGTGCAGCTTTTTATTTTGATGAAGTCCCAAAAGTTCATTTTTGCTTTTGTTTCACTTGCCTCCAGCAATGCATCTAGTAAGAAGTTGCTACGGCCGAGGTCAAGGAGGTTGCTGCCTGTGTTCTCCTCTAGGATGTTGATGGTTTCCTATCTCATATTTAGGTCTTTCATCCATTTTGAATTTATTTTTGTGTATGGTGTAAGAAAGTGGTCCAGTTTCATTCCTCTGCGTATTGCTGTCCAGTTTTCCCAACACCATTTGTTGAAGAGACTGTCTTTTTTTCCATTGGATATTCCTTCCTACTTTGTAGAAGATTAGTTGACCATATAGTTGTGGGTCCATTTCTGGATTCTCTATTCTATTCCATTGATCTATGTGACTGTTTTTGTCCCAGCACCATAGTGTCTTGATGATTAGAGCTTTGTAATACAGCTTGAAGTCTGACATTATGATGCCTCCAGTTTTATTTTTATTTTTCAGTATTGCTTTGGCTATTTGGGTTCTTTTGTGGTTCCATACAAATTTTAGGATTGCTTGTTCTAGCTCTGTGAAAAATGCTGGTGGTATTTTGATAGAGACTGCATTAAATGTGTAGATTGCTTTGGGTAGTACAGACATTTTAACAATGTTCTTCTAATCCATGAGCTTGGAACGCTTTTCCATTTCTTTGTGTCATCTTCCATTTCTTTCATAAGTGTTCTATAGTTTCCAGAGTACAGATCTTTTACCTCTTTAGTTAGGTTTGTTCCTAGGTATCTTACTGTTTTTGGTGCAGTTGCAAATGGGATCGATTCCTTGAATTCTTTGGCTGCTGCTTCCTCATTGTTTAGAAATTCAACAGATTTCTCCACATTGGTTTTATATCCTGCAACTTTGCTGAATTCATGTATCAGTTCTAGCAATTTTTTGGTGCAGTCTTTCACATTTTCTACATAAAGTATCATGTCGTCTGCAAATAGTCAAAGTTTGACTTCTTCCTTGCTGGTTTAGATGCCTTTAATTTCTTTTTATTGTGTGATTGCTGAGGCTAAGACTTCCAGTACTATGTTAAACAGTAATGGTGAGAGTGGACATCCTTGTCTTATTCCTGACCATAGGGAAAGGCTCTCAGTTTTTCCCCTCTCAGTCCCTCAAAGGAACTGCACCCTTTGAGGATGATATTAGCTGTGGGTCCTTCATATATGGCCTTTATAATGCTGAGGTATGTTCCATCTATCCCTACTTTGTTGAGGGTTTTTACCAAGAATGAATGCTGTACTTTGTCAAATGCTTCTTCTGCATCTACTAACAGGATCTTATCCTTTGATAAGTTCTTATCCTTTCTTTTATTAATGTGATGTATCACACTGATTAATCTGCAAATACTGAACCACCCCTGGAGCCCAGGAATAAATCCCACTTGATCATGGTGAATAATTTTTTTAATGTACTGTTGAATTCAATTTGCTAGTATTTTGTTGAGAATTTTTGCATCCATGTTCATCAAGGATATTGGCCTGTAATTCTTTTTAGTGGGGTCTTTGTCTGGTTTTGGAATCAAGGTGATGCTGGCTTTGTAGAATGAGTTCATAAGTTCTCCTTCCATTTCTATTTTTTGGAACAATCTGAGAAGAACAGGTATTAACTCTTCTTTAAATGTTTGGTAAAATTCCCCTGGGAAGCCACCTGGCCCAGGACTTTTGTTTGTTGGGAGATTTTTGATTACTGATTCAATTTCTTTGCTGGTTATGGTTCTGTTCAAATTTTTTATTTCTTTCTGTTTCAGTTTTGGTAGTCTGTAAATTTCTAGGAAACTGTCCATTTCTTCCAGATTGCCCAGTTTATTGGCATATAATTTTTTCATAGTATTCTCTTATAATTGTTTGTATTTCCATGGTGTTGGTTGTGATCTCTCCTCTTTCATTTTTGATCTTATCTATTTGGGTCCTTTCCTTTTTTGATAAGTCTGGCTAGGGGTTTATCAATTTTATAAATTCCTTCAAAGAACCAGCTCTTAGTTTTGTTAATCTCTTCTACTGGTTTTTTGTTTGTTTCTATATCATTTATTTCTGCTCTAATCTTTATGATCTCCCTTCTTCTGCTGGCTTTAGGCTTTATTTGCTCTTCCTTTTCTAGGTCCTTTAGGTGTAAGGTTAAATTGTGTATTTAAAACTCTTCTTGCTTCTTAAGGTAGACCTGTATTACAATATACTTCCCTCTTAGAACTGCCTTTGCTGCATCCCAAAGGTTTTAGACTGTCATGTTTTGATTTTCATTTGCTTCCATGTATTTTTTTTTTAATTACTTAATTTCCTGGTTAACCCATTCATCCTTTAGTAGGATGCTCTTTAGACTCCATGTATTTGAGGTTTTTCCAAATTTTTTCTTGTGGTTGACTTCAAGTTTCAGAGAGTTGTGGTCTGAAAATATGCATGGTATGACCTCAATCTTTTTTGTACTTGTTGAGGGCTGATTTGTGACCCAGTATGTGATCTATTCTGGACAATGTTCCATGTGCACTCAAAAAGAATGTGTATTCTGCTGCTTTAGGATGAATGTTCTGAATATATCCATTAAGTCCATCTGGTCCAGTGTGTCATTCAAAGCAACTGTTTCCTTGTTGATTTCTGCTTAGATGATTTGCCCATTGCTGTGAATGGGGTGTTAAAAGTCCCCTACTATTACTGTATTATTATCAATGAGTTTATATTTATTATTAATTGATTTGTATATTTGGGTGCTCCCAAGTTGGGGGCATAAATATTTACAATTGTTAGATCTTGTTGATGGATAGACCCCTTAATTATGATATAATGCTCTTTTTCTCTCTTGATATAGTATGGCTACCCCGGCTTTCTTTTGACATCCATTAGCATGACAGATGGTTCTCCATCCCCTCACTTTCAATTTGCAGGTGCCTTTAGGTTTAAAATGAGTGTCTTATAGGCAACATATAGATGGATCTTGTTTTGTTTTGTTTTGTTTTTTATCCATTCTCATACCCTATGTCTTTTGATTGGAGCATTTAGTCCATTTACATTCAGAGTGATTATTGAAAGATATGAATTTAGTGCCATTGTGTTACCTACAGAGTTGATGTTTCTGGTGATGTTCTCTGGTCCTTTCTAATCTTTGTTGCCTTTGGTCTTTTTTTCTCCA